GTGGTTTGAGAAGTAACAAAAGCAAGCCATTAAGTGTGGAGATTCCTTATTGGTTGACTGATGTATCTAGTTTATGCTAATTAGATAAGCTATGTGGAATGTATAAATACTGCTCCTGTCCTTCAATAAACGGCTCCTACTCCTGCTGTATCAACGTACACAAGTCGTTCGTCACCCCCCTGATTATTCTGCTGCAGCCGGACTCCGGCACTGAAGCATTCAGAATTGGAGAATACAAAAGTAAAAAGCAACAGATTGTCCCAGTTTTTCTGAGTTCTTGGACTTTTCCTCCAGCCAAAACTAGAGTTTTCCTGAAATTTTTGTGTACCACAGTGCTCTCTCGTGAGTTTGAAACTACATTCAGTTCAGATTAGGGGATACTAGAGAAAAATCATGGTTATTTCAGTGTGGTTGGAATTCTAATATTCTTTCTTGGTCAAATAACTGTGCCATGTACTCTGTTAAGATTTTATAGTTATGTACATTTGGAGAGAAAGTTAAGCATATGTTTACTGCATGTTGTGTAGAACTACAGCTGGATTTTAGATCTAGTTCCTTACGTATCAGGTGAATTCTTTGTTTGTTTGTTTGTTTTGGCCTTGGAATCCCTATGGAAGTAGTGAGGAATAGATTGTTTAATCCCAGAATTTTATGACAATTATTGAGGAGTGGCTTAATAGTTCAGCTGTTTTGATTTTTCCCCCCTCTCTAAATTTCAGTACTTTCTGAACACAGGATTTATTGTCATACTCTTTTGATTTGAATTGAACCCATTTTCTTTTTCTTTTTTTCATTTCTATTGCCATTGCCTTAGTTCAGGATTTCTTTATTTCTCACCTGGACTGGTACAGTAAATATTAGATTAAGGCATATGTACATTCCAACCTGCTACTTTCCTCCTACCCCCACATTTATATGTACAAGCAGTATTCTAATCTCTGGAAGTTTGCTTCTAAAACACAGATCTGATCAGACTGTTCTTATTCTGGAAGTCCTTTATAGTATATATAGTATCCAAATTCTATGTTGGTATGTATATTTATTTCCGAGTAATTTAAAGTTCCAGGGAAAGGATCATTTATGGGAGTTGCTGAAGTGAATTCTTATTTAGATAACCACTGTAGCCCCTTTATTTCCACCCTTGCCCAATTATTTCTCATCTAGAAGTCAGAATATTCCCATTCAGCCATAAATGTGATGTTCTCATTTCCTTGTTCAGAACCATATAATAACTACTTTCATGCTTAGATGATATCTACAATCTTTACTGCAGCTTTTGAGGCCCAGTATGATCTCCCAGAACTGTCACTTCCACTTCTTGTGCTTCAGCCAAAAATTCCAAGGCCTTGCATAGTTAATTCTCTTTCCTAGTCTACTTTCTTTTCTACTTACATATAGAGAGAAAGGGAGAAGAACACCTTCTTATGTGTGTGTGAATATGTGAGTATATATGGACATATACTTTTTTTATTTGAATGTGCTGAAATATCACTTATTTAAAGAAGTCTTTCAAAAATAATCTGCTCTGTACCCTATCTACCAAATCACTCAGTTCTTTCCTGAAGCCTTATTTACCAAAGCCTTTACTACTGCCTGTTCTATCTACTTATGTATCTAACTTTCTATTTTTTCTGTTTTCTGTCTCCCTGAAATAAAATGTGGAAGTGATAAAGACTTATTAAATGGCTACTATATTCATTGCCCTGAAAACTAAATGGATGACTGACACAGAACTTTGATAAACATTTGATGAATGAATGTATTTACTTCTCTTCCTTTAGACTCAGCCCCTGGAAAGTGGGTTTTGACTTTTGCTTTGACATTATGTATTACATTTTACACTTGTGTTCTTTCATAATCTACCATGAAAAAGATATAATTGATTTATTCTCAGGATTTTTACCACTTAAAATTTAAATAGTATAACTATTTTGATCAACTGTGTATTAATCTATAAGAAGTCTTGAGTATGAATCCAGTGTTTTATATAATAAAAGAACATGTCAAGCAATTTTTCCAAGCTTATTTTGTGGTTTAACAATATATATAAAATTTGGTTTGGTAATCCAAGTATTTGAGACCCTCTTTGTGTAACATTACAGTGGTATTTTTGAAATTATGTAAAGTCTGAAGTATATCAACAATAGAAATTATGCTTCAGAAATAACAATTTCAGATAACATCGAAGCTCTCCATAAAGAGCTATACAAATCTAAGAGACTCTATTTATTTTGTTACCTATGTCGTACCCCTTGCTCTGTGAAGATAAGTTGTGCCAAACCAGTATAACTCTGCCCCTTTTTGTTCTTCCTTGATTTATTTCTTTTCTTTTTCTTGTACCTTCCCACTGAGATAGCTCCTCCTTTAAATTTGGATAATGCTCATTTTTTTTCTCGCTCACTATGCAAAAATAGTAGGTAGAATTGTTTTATTTTGCAACTTGCTATTTTGCCAACATTTTGATTTTGAGGTTGGCCATCTATCCATAGTTACTTTATTTTAAATAATGGGTAGTGTTCCATTCTGAATTTATAGTGATTTATTTATTCCCACTCATGTTGACAGATATTTGGTTTATTTCTGTGTCTTTCTTACTATAAACAATGCTGCAGTATTTTTTTACACGTTTTCTTTTGCAAAAAATTCTCCAGACTATATTCCAAAACACGGGTATTTTCTAGATTACACAGTGAGCTCAACTTTAATAACTATTGCCCAATTGCTCTTAATACAGTTGTAGAAGTATATATATGCATTCATACAGTGTACATGAGGATTTTCTTTGTTTCAGAAGGTCACAACATTTATTCTTGGACCATTTAATGTTTGCTTCTTTGTTGGGTGTGAAATGGTATCACAGTTTGGCAATAGCTATTAAAAGTAACATTTTCTCATATGATTAGTTGATGCTAACTTGATTTCATAACCTAAATGTTCCTTAAAATGATGGAATTATATATTTTATTTTTGGTAGATGTAACCTTTTTCCTTTGTTTTCTCTGATTGATTGTGAGTAATCTATTTTGGTAGCTCTGGTTGAAGAAGTGTATTTTGCACAGAGGGAACGAGATGAAGCTGTTATGACTAGGCTGAAATTAGCCATTGAGGAGAGAGATGAAGCAATCACACGAGCCAAGGATTTGGAAATATCTCTAAAAGCGTATGTATACATTTAAAATCATATATGATATTAGGAACATTTATAAAATGTGTGTATTATGTGGTGATTACCTATTCAATTTATTGCTGATAATTATTGTTACATTAAAATATTGCATGTCCCCACAATCTTTTCTAAAATCTTTGGCATGCTAGATTTGCCTGCCAGGGTGAGAGGTTTTTTTTTTTTGTTTTTAATTGAAGTATATATTACTCTCAATACAGTCACTTTACTACTTCTTAGTTCTCTTGTCAATGACCTTACCCTGCTTTCCTATTTGACTCCTTATTTTTTTCTCATTATCTCTTATTATCACTTTCTTGATAATATTATTTCTTAATATTATTTTATTTAGCTGCATCTTTCACTGCTCTCTGCTTAATATACCTATTTCTTTACTCCATTACTTTTTACCTTTGTTATTTTAGCTGTGACTTTTAAACTTTAGTGATACTTGGAATAGGGTAGAGCCTAAGGGTTTATAATTTTTACAACCCAGGTGAAGTAAGTAGGTAAATAATGGATGACACTTAGAAAAATAATATCCTAGAATAAGTACTTCTCAAATTTTATTGTACAATCTGATATCTTGGAGGATCGTACTAGAGTGCACATTCTGATTCACACAGTCTGTGATGGGACTTGAGATATTACCAGATGGTACAAATGATGCTAGTCTAAGGAAAGTGCTTCTAGAAATATGTTACCTGTAAAGTTAGATAGAATACAGTAATCTAATATTTAATGATGATCAAGGAATACACCTATGTCATGTTTATTTTGTCCATTATTATACTAGTCTCAGGAAGATCAGTAAAGTGCTAATTTAAACATGGCACATTAGGGAGACAAAAATTAACAATGAAAATGTTCACAGGTTGTGGTTAGTAATTTTTTTTTTGCCTTTTTTTTTGATTAATGACTTCATTTTTTTAAAGATTGATAGAGACTCTTCATAAACATTAAATTCATTGAAAAATCCAAACAAAAGTTACTTAAATTTCACACTTTCTGCTCCCAAATAAACATCTTTTAAAATTTTTAAATTTTACTTTTTAATTGGCACATAATAATTACACATATTTATGGAATACAATATGATATTTCAACACATACACAGAATGCACCAATCAAATCAAGATAATTAGCATTTCCACCTCCTTATCATTTCTTTTTGTTTGGAGCTTTCAAACTCCTCTCTTCTAGTTCTTCACAGAGTATATAATATGTTATGGTGAACTATAATCACCCTACTATGCTGTACAACACTATAATTATTTTCTTCTTTCTAACAGTATTTTGGTACTATTATCCGAACTCCCTCTATCCAGCTTTCCCACTACATAATCAGTATTCCACTCCTTCTTTGAGATCAACATTTTAGCTTTCACATTTGAGTAAGAATATGTAGTATGTGTATTTTAGTACCTGACTTAACTTAATGTTCTCCAGTTCCATCCATTTTGCCACAAATGATGGTGGCATTCCTTTCTTTTTTCTTTCTTCCTTTCCTCCTCAACTTTCTTTTCCTTTTCTCACTTCTCCTTTTCTTTCCCTTCCCTCTATCCCTCCCTTTCTTCCTCCTTTTCCATATCTCTTTCTCTGCTAGAGTTTGCATCTTGAATGTCTCCCAAAGACCCATATGCTAAAGGCTAACCTGTGGTACTATTAGGAGATGGTGGAACTTTTAATGTGGGCCTTATGTAGTAAGTTAGGTCACTGTGGAGGGACCCTTGAAAGGGATATTGGGACCCAGCCCCTTCTTCTGTCTTTGCTCCCAGCCACCGTAAGGTGAACAGATTCTTCCATCTCTTCCTCCCCACCATGAAGTATTGTCTACAGACCCAAAGACAGTAGGGTCAAGTGGCCATAAACTGAAACCTTGAGCCAAGATCACCCTTTATAAGTTGAGTCACAGATATTTGGTCATGGTAACAGGAAGCTGACTAATACAAGCTGGATGATATACCATTGTATAAAAAGACCGCATTATCCATTCATCTGCTCATGGACACTTTGGTTAATTCCATATTTTTGCTATTGTGAAAAATTCAGCAGTAAGCATGGGAACGCAGGTTTCTTTTGGTATGTTGATTTCATTCACTACATGCTGTTTTATTTGAGAGCCAGTGTAGTGTACAGGTTAAGAGGATAGATTCTGGACCCATAATCTGTCTTTGCATTTTGGCTTTGCTGCTTCCTAGCTGTATACAAATTACTCAGAATCAATGGGACTCAGTTGTTGTTGTTTTTTTAATCTAAATGAATAAAATAAGGCCCAACTTACACAAGTTCTTCTGAGGACTATATGACTTAGTAAATATCTAAAAGTACCTGGCTCATTTCAAGGGCTGTGTACTTGAATATAAGAATTGAATATAAGAATAATAGTCAAAGAGAACCTGAAGAAAACTGAATTATAGAATGTGTTCTCTCAATAAGAAACATTAATCCCTTTAAAAAATTCTAGTTTTAGGAAAGGAGACTGAAAAATATTAAAATATTAAGACATCAAAATTTTTGTGTGCAATATGTCAAATTTAAACAGTATTATTTAACTCTCAGATATGAAATAAAGAATTGCATTTTTAAACTCTCCCCCTTTTTCTCTTTATTAATATTTTAAAAAAATGTTTGTAAAAGTTGTATTTCATTTTACAGTTAAAGGGTCCCTTGTTGTTTAATTGTAATTTTGTATTTAAGAGGATTGAATAATCATTACTGAAACTTTGATCATAGATGGCATTTAAAAATATATATTTATTTTTTAGTTGTAGTTGGACACAATACCTCTATTTTATTTATTTATTTTATGTGGTGCTGGTGATCGAACCAGGGCCTCGCATGTGCAAGGCAAGTGCTCTACTTCTAAGCCACAACCCCAGCCCATATATGGCATTTTTATACCTGGGTTCTTTATTGCGGGGAACCCCTGGGTTACTGAATTTCATTTTCAATTTGTTTTTTTGAGAGAGAGAGAAAATTTTTTTTAATATTTATTTTTTTTAGTTTTTGGTGGACACAACATCTTTATTTTTATGTGGTGCTGAGGATCGAACCCAGCGCCCCGCGCATTCCAGGTGAGCACGTTACCGGTTGAGCCACATCCCCAGCCCTCAAATATTTTTTTCCTTTGCATTTCACTCTGTTATTTTAACATCTTCTCTGTGAACTTTATGGAATGCTCGGCCTTTTTGTATTCCTCTGAAATACAAATCACTAGTAAGAAAATTTCTTCATTTCCTTATGTGTTAGTCTGTGTTGCTATAATAGAATAACTAAGAATGAGTAATTTATAATGAACAGAAATTTTTTGTCTTTGAATTCTGGAGGCAAGTAAGTCCAAAATCAATGAGAGCATCTGTCAAGGGCCTCCTCGATGAGCCATTTCAGAGTGGTAGGTAGAAGGACAAGCAGAGACAAAAGGGAGCTGAGCTCCCCATTGTAGAATTGAATTTTTTGATTGTATGTAATGAGCATGGAGCCTTGGTGGCCTAATCACTTCCACAAAGACCTACCTCTTAAACTATATTAGTGCCAATTCAAATTCAGTATGAGTTTTGGAGAGGACAGAAATTCATTCAGCACCTTTATTTTTATTTTTATTTTTAATGTAATCTTGTCTCTTGCTTGGTATGTTTTGTGTTGTATTTGTGGTGTATATGTAAATGAAATATTATTGTGTCTTGCTTATGCTTAAAATAAGCAGTATCAAGAATTTTGTTTTGTTCTGATATGGAACAGTTGGATTTTCCTTGATAAATCCTCTGAGTTGCAGTTTCTGGACTAGGTATTGTTCTCTTGCTACAGTTCTGTTTTATCCTTGGGCAGTTGGGGTGTGGATGGAAGTCTAAGAGAACTTCCTGGATTTGTATGCCCCTTTTGTTAGAGGTTAAGCATTCTACATAGGGATTTTGGTGTTCATTGAGGGTTCATGCTCTCTGTTCTTGTGTATATCTTGAATACTTTGGGGCTTTTATTTATTTCACCATTGTAGTAAAAAATGGCCAATTCTGATGCTACTTGTTTTTTCTATATAGATTCTTCATTAATACAGTCTTTATTTTCTTTTCTTGGGATTATATGTGTACAGACTTTCATATGCCATGTTTACTTGGACTTCTAATTTTTGAATAAACTTTGAATTTTAGAATCATTTTTTATTTTCAGAAAAGTTACCAGGATAGAAAAGTTACCTCATTTAGTTTACCTTATGGTAAATATCTTATATTACTATAATACACTTGTCATGGATTAGAATTCAACATTACTATATAATCATTAACTAAATTCCATAGTTTTTTTTTTAGATTTCACTAATTTTTCCTAAAGTCCTTTTTTATGGTTTGTTTTATGTTTATGTTTTTATTACATTTAATTGTTATATTTCCTTAGCCTGCCCTGTTGTGTGATATTTTCTTACATTTTTCTTGTTTTTGATGGCCTTGATAGTTTAGTCATGTATTTTTCAAAATCTCTCTTAATTTAAGCTTTTCTAAAGTTTTTCTCATGGTTAGACTGAGTTTATTAGTTTTGAGGATGAAGATCACAGAAGTGAATGCCATTCTCATTATATCATTTCAAGGTTATAGTCTATTAACATGACTTACTACCAAAAATATAAACTTTGACCACTTGGCCCGAGGCAGGCTATGCCAGGTTTCTTTACTGTAAAGTTACTTCCTTTCCCATTTTCATACTCTACTTTTTGGAAGCATAATGTTAAGTATAGCCCATACTCAAGAATGAGGACAAGAGGTTGTTGAGTTTTACTTCTGCATAGTTTGGATCTAGAATGTCCCCCCAAAACTCAGGTTTTAATGGCTGTTCTGCACATTGACACTGTTGGAAAGTGGTAAAACCTCCAATAAGTGAAGCCTAGTGGAAGGTCTTCATGTCTTTGAGGATTGTGCCTTAAAGAGGATAGTGGAACTCTGGCCCCTTCCTCTTTCTCTCAGTTGTTCCCTGCCATGAGGTGAACAATTTTTCTCCACACCACA